GAAGGTGGTTTGCCAACTCCTAAAATCAAATGTTCTGAAAGCTGGGTGGGGACTAGCATTGCCAGGCAGGTCCAGAAGCTAAGTTCAGTGCTAAAGCTGTTGGTTTTCTTGAAGGTGCAGAACTTTAAGCAAAAGATAGCTGAAGGGGAAAAACTGAGCCTTCCTTCATGCTTTTCTGGCAATTGGCCTGAAATAAAAAACAAAACTCTTTTAGGTTTTGTTTTCTTTTTTTCTGGTCACTTGGCAATCCTATCTGGAAGGATTCCAAGATTCAGTGAGAAGAATTAAACCCATGTTTGCTTTCCATATTAACTCTCTTAATTTAACTGCACTCTGGTTGTATTGAACTGATATAATGAAGGCTTTTTGTCTGTTTGATTTTGCTGGTTCTTTCTTTGCCTTGTTGAGGAAACGATGAATCCATGGAATGGAAGCCAAAGAAAATACAGACATGTAAACCCTCCAATATCTCCCAGGAGATCGCCATCCGTAGGTATACTTCTTGGTCTCAGTTTTCCATCCATTTTAGGATAGCTAGGTACAAAAAGGCAAAAGTGGGCAGAGAGTAAATCTCCAAATGTTCTAAATTTCTATTTCCGGCAACTCTGACTATTGGCCATGCTAGCAGAGGCTTCAGAGAGCTGAAGTAATCCAGAGATCTACCTTAGAGGGCCTGGTTCCTAGACCTTTGAATTAGTTGTGAAGAAGAGGAAATATTGAATGTTTAGTAATTAGTACCACTCTATAACTGGAGTACTTGCATCCACAACAGGAGTACTGTATCCAATTCTAGGCTCCACATTATGAGAGAGACATAGCAAGGTTGGAATCAGTTCAGCGCAGGGTCACAAGGATGGTAGCTGGATTGCAGAGGAGGACATATGAGATGATACTGAGGGAGCTGGATCTTTTCAGCCTGCAGAAGAAGAGATTTGGATCTTATGGCAATATACAGGTGTATAAAGGGGTGTCACATGCTAGAGGGTCATGACCTGAGAACAGGTGGAGGAAAGGACACAGTCCAATGGGACAAGCTCAAGGAACTGGGTTTCAAGCTGGATGTCAGGAAGTAGTTCCTGATGTTTAGGACCCCAAGGATATGGAATGGACTTCCAATGGAGGTGGTGGGGGCCTCATCAGTGAGGGTGTTCAAGAAAAGATCGGGCAACCACATTTGGGTATTATGTGAGCACAGCCAGCTGGAACAGGGGGTCAGACTAGATGGCTCGGGAGACCCCTTCTATGTTTCTAAATTCCAAAGGTATTGCTTGCACAGCAAACTGAAATCCCACATTGACAAAGATAATTTAAAGATGCAGCAGTCCAGACTTTTATTGTATGAGACCCAGATTTTTGCTTATCTTCCCTACTTCAGAATAAAAAAAAATCTCATTGAAAATCTTAATTGTTTGAAAATTGTAATTTTCTGCAATCAAAAAACTGGTGGGGAAAGTGGCAGTGAAATGATTTATTCCTTGCAAACAGGCAGATTATTTAACACAACAAAATGAAACCTCTGTTGATTAGTTTTGATACTCAAAAGTGTAAACTTCCCAACTGGGCTGAAACAAACCATTCTTGAACATTGTTTTATATTCCTATCAGTTAAATTGCAATGCTGACAATCAGATCCCATTTCAGATTTTGCTCCAAGCAAGCCAACAAAAGAGAATCAGACAAAAGAACAGTAATGGCAATACTATCTCACCATCCAAATGTTCTCTCTTCTTTTCAGATGTTCCTGGAAAGCCATTATTTGTGTAATGGATCTAGATTTCTAAAGGACTGTTCAGAACACTAATCTAGGTTTATGTTGTATATAACTGAAATGGAAACAAGGCACAACATGTACAATAAAATCAGCAGGGCACCAAGAGGCCTGTCAAATCATCTCCCTACCAGGATGTCACGTTACTCCAGAACTCAGTTTTACTGTCATCCATTTGTTTTCATGCCACATAATATCATGTTAACTGGCTGTTATTATGCATTCGTTCTTGGCCTCATTAATGCGCTTTCAGCATGTCAAGCTGACATATATTTGTTGCACCGATAATTGCAGAACATTCAAGGACTCGGTACATTAATATTAATTCGTACATTAAATTTCTTAAACTGAAATGGAACGAAATAACTCCTGTATCCCATTGTATGTATAATACCCTCCTGCCACAGTGTTTATTACCTACCAGGCAAGCAGAACAGGAAACATTTTGATTTATTCATCCAAAGGCCTCCTGCTTTGCTTATGTTACTAGAGCATCATAACAGGTCAGAACCAGTCATTTATTTGAAGGACTACCAGGAGACTGACCTGAGCAATGACGGTGCCCCCTGTTTGAAGGGCTGCTGTGTCCAATTATGGCTTAAAGACAAACAACTTAAGAACTGTTGCTCATCAACATCACTCAGACAGCAGACTCAACAGGTTTGCACACAGGTCACAGTCTTTCACAGTATAAGTATTTATAAATGTGCTTATACATATGAGTTAGCATTTGCAAATTTTATACAAATCTATCCTCTTTTTCAGTAATGCATTTCCTCCATTTTGGCAGTCATACATGGCCATTCTGTTTCTTAGTACTGCTGCCTCGTGTGCTTTAGAATTAACACATCCATGGGTAACAAGCATGAGTCAGTTTGGACAGAGAAGTGGTAAACTAAGGCAGGCTGTGACAGCAGGGATGTCCCAAGACATTTCAGTGTCCGAGGAAGAAAATCACAACAGTGCCCACTTTCCGTACACATAGAACAGTGCTTTGTCTAACTCAAGTTCATCAGGGCTTGCCCAAAGTAATTATCTGTGTCTCAGGTATTTGATTGATTGATTGATTTATACCCTGCCTTTTTCCTACAAAGGGCTCAAGGCAGCCTACATCATTCTCCTCCTCCATCTTATCCCCATAACAACAACCCTGTGAGGTAGGTTGGGCTGAGAGTCTGTGACTGGCCCAAAGTCACCCAGTTGGCTCCATGGCTGAGTGGGGACTAGAACCCAGATCGTCTGAGTCCCAGTCCCATGCTCTTAACCACTACACCACACTGGTATCACAGCTATCTGTATCTTACTCTGGGATAAATAAAGAACACACCTCTCCTTGCCTCATGATAGGACCATCTTTGTACAAGTGACCTGGAAGTGAAACTCAAAAATGTCTCTGAGCTTCTCTTGTGCCAGATCGAAATGCTTCAAAAGTACAGTCTAGTCAATGCACATTCTAGATCTAGCTATTTATTTATAAGATTTATATCCTGCTTTTTCTTATTTAAAGGACTCAAAGCAGCTTACATTATTCTCCTTATGCTGCTCTCAATCATATCCCCACAACAACCCTGTGAGAGTCTGTGATTGGCTCTATGGCTGAATGGGGTTAGAACCCAGATCACCTGTGTTCCAAACCTTATTCTTAACCACTACACCACACTCGTTCTAGTGTGAAATTTGAGTTTCTCGTTTGATGATTCCCCGATACACATTTGTTTGCATCATCTGATCTGGACTAATTATATTAGCTAAAAGGTTCGGGGCTTCTAAAGCTTATTCTAAGCGGCTGTTGACAATAAGCACAACGCATTCATTGGTTTGGATCCAAGAGCTGCTTTCTGCTGATGAGTAAGTGCCATGCACAAAAGTTGCTGCCCCACAATTTGGGGAAACCCCCTTTCCCACTGCACTGCAGCTCACTTTATGCAGCCAGGCCCCTAACCATCTATGTATGTTTGACCCTTCAAGGCAATGGGGAGTGGCCATGGGGAAGGTGTGTGGGGAAGTCTGCTTTTGCCTGCCCAGCTGCACACACAAATAAGGATTCAGTTCCTTATACCTTTTAAACATATTGTGTTATAGTTTTGACATAGGAATTGGAGGAGGGTGACAGGGAGAAAATTAAGTTTTCATGCTAGAGCTTCTATTGTCTCTGCAAAAGATTTGTGCAGAGTTCTAAATGTGCAAAATAAATTTTCTTACCACAGCATAAACTGGATAAACGTTGGCTTGGAACTTGGTTTTTTTGTTGAATGGCTAAGATTAGAGCAGCAGAGAGCAAGAAAGGAAGTGGTGAAAGGGAAGAGATGTTAGTGGCACATGCATGGTAGAACCAAAGGGAAAGACTAGCAGGCATTCTTAGATTCATTGTCTTGACCATTTCAGTGTGGAGCTTGGCTTGGTTATGGGACTGAATTAGCCTTGATTACTCAGATGTATGAGTGTTATTAGGGGAGGGACAGAGGGAGTGCAACCCTGCTAATTCTGCTTGATCTCTTCATTGGCTTTTGATACCATCAGGAGTCATGGTATCTTCCTGAATTGACTCTATGGATTAGTTATTACAGGCACTGGCTTACAGCAGTTTCATCCTTACCTTCAGGATTGATTTGAGGGAGTAACACTGGGTGAGTATTCCTTGGACATCTGTCCATTTTGCTATGTAGTTCCACAGAGTACCATCTTGTTACCATTGTTATTTAACAACTACATGGAGCTGCTGGGAGAGCACGCACCTTCTCTCTTTATCAGCCTGCCCAGTCACTGAGGTCTTTGGAGGTCATCCTCCTCAGGGTTGCACACAGACCCCCTTCCTCCCTTCCTTCCAGCGTTTTCTCTGAACAGCTGTTGCTCTACGTCAGTGCCCAGGCTGAGGGGGTGGGTCGTTGTTGGGACCTGTAGTCCAACACATCTGGCGGGTGACAAGTTGGGAAAGACTGTGCTGCATACTAATGTTTTGGAAACATCTGCAAATTAATGCCTCCCATTATTAGCGCCGAGACTACGGATGGGGCGTACTGAGATGAATGAGCGGAAGCCCTTCCAGTTCTGCGAAGAGTTACCGTCAAGAAGGAAGGAGAGGGAGAAGACAGAAGGGAGCTGAACAGGACAAGGAGAAACAGAGGGAGCGGGCACTGTCCTGGGAACCAATCAGAGAGCGGGGGCGGAGCTCAGATAGACACCGCCCCTTCTTAGTCTGGCCGAAATGGGCGGTATCTCGTGAGCCGGAAGCGCAAATGCCGTGCTCCGGAAGCAGTTGGGGCGGCGTGCGTAAAGGTCGCCGGCTAGAAAAGCTCGCGCAACGGCGGAGTTGGTCGGTGGTGGGATTGCCATGTTTCTCACAGTGACCAATTGTGAGTGGGGAGGGTGCCGATTGCGGCGGGGCGAGGCGCTGGGGCGCTTGAGGACGCGGCTGAGAAGAGCGAACAAAGCAGCTTCTTTGGGACGGCTTTTCCCAGGAGGCTGCCGGTGCTGTTGAAAAGCGCTGGCGAAAGTTCCGACGTTATTACTTCTTATTTAGAGGGCTTTTATCGCAGTCATCAGCAGAAAAAGTCTTGTATAAATGCTAGCGCAGAATGGCTGGTGGGCTCTTTCGTCTCGGAACCTGCTGATGTGCCACTTTTAAATGGGCATTTTGCTCTCCAGACAGATTGGGGCTTGACTCTTCCCCGTTTTATCCTCTCAGTAGCTCATAGGGTAGACCATCTGGACATCGGTGGCTGGTCAAAGACCACCTGAATCGGGATTAGAATGTTGCTGTTTCTAATCTTAAACCCAGTATCGTGGCAGGCAATCTAGTGCTCTCCAAATATTTTGGACTGCACTCTCCTTGATTATTGGTCATGCTGAAGGGAATTGGAAGCCAAAGATGAAGAGGGCATTAAGTAATCTAGCCTTAAACATAATAGCATTTCAGTTTTAGTGAAGTTGTCTGTTGTAAGCATCAAAGTTAATGGCAGAGTCTGTAAGCATCATACTAACCTAGAGGGATGCCATTCCATGAGAATTCATAGATGGTGAGTTCTAACGATAGTATCTAAAACCAACATCAAGTCTTATTATTGCAGAGCAATAAAAAAACAACCTTGCTCCTGGATGAATGGAGCTGATATATACATACCCGCTGCATTCACACTTCAGTGCTTGCGTAAACTAAAAATGTAAGAAGAGCCCTTTAGCCTAATCTATTGAAAGATGGAGGAAAATTATTACATGCATATTCAATAAAGGAATTGCTTCATTTCCTAGTGGTTCTCACAGCAGATAGTTCTCTGAAATATGTCTCATTTTTCATTAGTCTCCTACAATTACTATTAGTCTCCTCCTACAGTCAAGCCAATTTTTCACAAAAGTGATTAAAACAGAAACAATGCTGAACTATTACTATTTCAAAAAGCTACCCCCACTAAGTTTACAGTCATGAATTGTGCTAAAATCCAGGTAGTTTAGTGACCACACACTCAGGCCTAGCTCCATAGATTGTTTTCAGCATTAGGGTTTTGCCCTGGGATAGTTGAAATAATATGAAAAAGGAGCATGCCCTTTAGCCTCTCTAAGCTAAGAGATGTACTGAACTGACCTCTACTTTTGAGGATACAGGGTTGCCAAATGGTGGCATGATCTGTGTTTTGACATCATCTGTATACACTCTCAATGCATAGGTATTTATACAAAATTTAAAAAGATAGTTGAATCAATTCTGTACACAAACAGATGCTTGATTGTATAATTGCTCATGGATACTTGCTCATGGATACTTCTGCAAGTTCATATGCCTACTGAAAAAGATATTTGTTGGCAGTTAAAGAATAGGGCCTCCCCTGGTAAATTTGAGGAGTGAATTATGTCAGAAAGCTGAGTAAGGTATTAGAGATGATTAGAGGAGGAGGAGGAGGATTGAATGTTTACCTATATAGTCTTGAAGAGCTGTTGCACTCTTGAGTGCATTGTGCTAGTATGTGGAGCAGTGATTCTGATACTTTCCATGCAGGAAGCCTATTTTATTTCTGCTGCATGAGCTTTTTTCCCCATCTTTCACAGAATACTACAGATAATCTGGAAGCACATTCCTAAGTTCTTAGGAGAGCCTTCTTCAGTGAGAGGTTCCTTCAGAAGTTTTAGTCTGCAATTCCTGTCAGCCCCAGTCCACATGAGCAATGGTCAGGAGTGACAGGGCTTGTAGACCCAAACCTCTGAGGGGACCTATGTTGCAGAAAGCTGCCTTAGAATCTGATTCAGAGTTGCTGTCAGAATTGCTGGTGTAGAAGCCACATGTAGTTTGGTGTCTCTATATACACACTTTAAATTAAAAAGTATTTTTAAAGCTTGTAAAGACAAGTTTCCTTTGAGCAATTATTTATGGTTGTATAAACAATGTCTTAGTTCCTTTTCTATTTTTTCTTTTTTCTTTTGTTCTTCAAAACCAGTGGCCAAGGCCAAAGCAAAGTAAGTAAAATGTTAATTTGCATCCACTACTAATGCATCTGCTTTTAAGTGTATCTACTAATAGGATACGGGGTAGTTCACATGAGGCAATAGTCCGTCTTCCTGAACCTCCTACCATACAGCATTATGGAATGACTGGGATTTTGTATTATGAGAAAAAGAGAAAAATGTCTCTTCCTTTATTTTCTCCATGCCATATGTAATTTTGTTCACCACACACATTGTGCATGCTAAATTTTGGTCTAAGCATCAAATGAAAACTTATAGTAATAACATCAAACCTGTCTTAGAGGAGTCAAAACACAGTTTATGGTTGAGCTGTAGCAGAATTAACAATCAGCTTTCAGTGAAGCTGTTGTCAGCTACCTGTAGTGTTTGAAAATGCTCCTTATGATGTTCCAATGCAACAATGAGGTTCCAAACCACAGAGGTATAGGGGACCAAGCATGATCTTATCTTCCATAGAAACAAATTAAGATAAATCTCAAAAGAGATGATGAGAAATATTCTATTAAAGTGCATGGATTGTTCTCAGTTGGTATCACTTTGCTGATGGAAGCTTCTTTGATATAGTGGAGGATTCCAGCAGCAGAATGGAATGGGAAGCCATTTTCAGCCATTTTTTCTCCTCCTGTGCCATCCTCATACTGTTCTAAAGGCTCTCCAACCCTCTAGAGCAGATTGTAGGGAGCTGCACAGACAAAGGGGAATCACTGAAAATCATCTCCCCCATTCTAACAGAACCCTTTGTTGGATAAAAGAGCATTCCATCAACAGAGTGACATCAGTGGGATACAATTCTGAAAGCTAGTAGTTCTGGAGCACTTATTTCAATAAGAAAATAGTTGTGATTCTTGTGGTTCAACATGTCTGTAGATTCTGTAGTCTCTTGCATTTCAAGTGTAACGGATATCAGAGGCCCAATTAGGGGGTTTGAGGCTTTTGATTCTTTTAAATTTCAATTGGGAATGAAAAAAAGAGAATGTCATCTTTAATTTTTTCCCGACTGTTACTGGTAGGCTTTGTTAAATTGTAAACTGATTTCCTTGGCTATCATAGAAAGTATCATTATATGGAAGTTTTAATAATATGCCATATTATCTGAAATTATTAGGGAGATTACAGATTTATCAGCTGACAGCCACAATTGATTTTGGAATTAAATTATGAGTAATGATAAAACAGTAAAAATAATTAAGAGATAGCAGCCAATAGATAATTCATGGTATATTTTATTATTCTAGGTATATTCTTGTAAGACTGTTGAGTGAAGCAGGAACAGGCACTTCTGTCAATGTAGTGCGGCCTCGGCTTCAAGAAAAGCTGGTTATACTGAGATATGATCCTGCTGGTAAGAAGCTGGGGGGTATGCTTTACAGGGGGTTTACAAATTGTATAAATATTTTACCATAGCCATATATTGAATGTGCATGGCATACATGTTTAAATTATTATATGAATACATATTCTTATACTATCCTGGTAGTTTTAGAAGGAACACTGGAAATCATCATAATGGCCACATTTGCATGGCTCACTAATTCACTCTGCAGTCTGGCTTGTTCATGGAACAACTCATGCTGTTTCCTACAGATAATTGGACCCACCATAGCTTGTTTTCCCACTCCTTCCCCATTGGTCCTCCAGGCGGTATCCTGGCATGATTCTTAGCAGAGCCCATATTACATTTCTTGCATACCCTGATTGCTACTCTTATGTTTGTTGCTGTTTCCTTTTTTTAAAAAAGGAAGAATGTACAATTGTGATCATAGCTTTTTAATTTTGGAAGCTCCAGAGAATCACACAACTGTGTTGGCAATCTTGTCAGTCTTTCTCAAGTGCAGTCCAAATTCAGCCTTGCCAATGTCTTTATATGTTTCAGCTGTCAAAGGGGGTAGGAAAGTGTACATTCTTCTGTTTTTGTTCCCTGTCCTCCCTTTCACTCACTAGTGCTGCCTTTCTGCACCAAAGAAATGCCAGAAGCCTCTCCCTCTCTGGATGGGCAGGGCAAGAAGGCATACTTTGGAGGCCTCCTGTTTGCTTTCTCTCTCTACGGAGATGACAATTTTCTGCAATTGGCTGCAGAAATGAGTTCCCCCTTTTTACTATAAACTGGTTGTCTTTAACTCTACGCTTTATGGCAGTTCATTCTTAAGTATAAGTGTTCATAACTTGGACGTTCATAACCTGGGGACTGCCTGTATTAAGTCTTTGGAAACTAGGTACAAATTAGCCCATTTGCAGTCTTGACTTATCAGTTTCCATGTATGTCACTCACAGATGAAACATACAAAGAAAGGTAAAAAGCAAGACTATGTATCTAGTAGCTGTAGCAGCACACTTGTGAAAGATGAAGAGAAAATAAAAGAATTGGTGCAGTTTTCTGGGACCAAAAGTTTGGGTGGCAAAACAAAGTACCACTTGGGCATTGGTAGATGGGGTGTCACTGGCAGGGGCAAGGGGTTTTTTCCACTCCTGCTGAGAGACTTGCTAACTGATTGCTGCAGTCCATGATGAAATTGCTTTCCCGAGTTCATATCACATGGGAACATATCATGAGTTCACCAACCCCTAAAAGGAACTATGGGTTTTAAGTGAATCTTGTTGCTGAAAAATAATCTACCCTTTGGGAACTGGGTTTAGGATTGGATGGCATGATAGTCCATCATGACTAGTTACCTATGATGGGTTTCATGTTGTGTGAACTCAGTAACATCATAAAAGTTTCCAAAGCCATATGGATGACAGTGGCAGAGAGTGGGATAAGATAGCGAATGGAATTAAGCCTGTTCTCAGTGTAAGGAACACTTGCACTGCATAATAAGAACATATGGACTAGATTGCCTGAGATTAGAATTGTAAAATGCTTTAGTTTTTGCATTATACATAAAAATGGTTATATTTAAAATACAGGTATATATTTAGTTTTCTTTTAGCTATAATATATTTTCATTTCTTCAGTTTTAAGAGAAAGGCACATTTACCTCCCTTTCCTAGGGAAGTTTTTAACAACAGGATTTCAACCTTCACTTACTTAATGGAAGAATGTACACAAGTGTTAACATTTCTTTGAATTCATCATCTTATTTAACAGGGTATAAAGCAACTCATTGATCTTAAGCATGTCTTTCCCAGCTTCTTTTTAATGGTGCTTGCTTCTGTGAAATATGTTCAGGATTATTTATTCAGTGATTCTAAGTTCGCTTTTCTAGACCTTCCCATGATGTGCTAAATGTGTTCATTTCAGTACTAATAAGACAAAAATAGCATAATGTTCCTGTTTGAAGTGGACTGGCACAACAGGAATCCATGGTGCTGCTGTTCTGATACTTGTGTCCTGCTGTTGACATGTCAGCTGTGGTGGATCAGTTATACCAGTGATTGCGTCTCTGAGAAGCATAGGCGCACTGCCTTTGACACTAGAGAGAGCATGTGGCCATCAGGATTAGTAGCCTTTGATAACCATGTGTAACAGGAAGGTGTGTGTGTGTGTGGGGGGGGTTCTTCTGGCTAGAAAGCAAAGTTAAATAGCTGTGCTTCCCCACCCCCCCAAAAAATCAGCTGCCTGCATTAGTTGCTGTGGTGCTGACGCTGTGTGTGTAGCTCCAGCACCACATGAGATTGTATTGCCTTTGTAAGACAAGCATATATACTCTGCAGCTGTTTTGAGATTCCCACAATGACACAAGCAACATCCTCTGCTGCTTATATTTAAACAGATTAGCCATGTAAATACTGCAAGATCATCTGCCTTGCTTTTTCCCCCCCCCCCCCCCCCAACCTCAATAAACATAGAGCTAGGGAAATCCATGTTAAAGATGGTACAAGTCAAGTTAGATGCAAGAAAGTAAATTGTATCGTATGTTTGGCTTGAAAGGACTGCAGGTTTAAATATACTTTGCTTAGAAAATGTAGGCAATAAAATATGTTTTAGAAGTTAATGTAAAATTCTGTTTTAGACTAGAAATAACAAGCAGAAATCAATAAATTCCTGTTATTTCTAAACAATTTTAATTCATAATAGTAGAAATCCATTTGTATTTTTAAACTTCCATTTTCTTTTTATTGCTTTGGTGTCAAATACTGAGGTTTCACAATGATTGCCAACTTCAGTGGGGTTTCATTTGCGCACAAGCATTTAAGAGAGGAGCCATAACTTACAGAAGCATGATATTCATTTTCATGTGCCAGGTTATACATGACTGAACCAATAATTGGTTTGTCTGTATTTATGTGATTAAATAAGTATGCAGGTTTTATGAGGCCTCCCAATAACCTAAATTTTCTGCTTCCTTTCTGTGTATAGTTAAACAGCGTGTCCTCTTCAAAGAGCAGAAAAAGATCCGTTCCCTGTAGATGACAAATGGCTAAGTCGATTTTATTCATACATAAGGCAGACTCATGGGGGGAAGCGTTATGTCAACCTGCAGTGTTGTGAGAAAGGAGAGGAAATGGACTGAGATGGCTGCCTCCTGTGATTTGAAGGCCATTGTGAACAAGAACAATGTGGAAAAAGAAAGCAGTTGGTGTCTAGCCACGGATCATCATCTTCATCAACAACAACTTATTTTATCTTTTCATTTATTTTTACAGTTCTCAATTAAAATAGCAAATCCCATGGTCTGTTTGTTATACTTCAACACTGGTGTTGAACTGCCTGCAGCCACCAAAGAAACATTTGTTTCACACAGCTGTAAAATTAAAGGCTCTCTTCAGTAGGACTTGAACAGAATGGGTTTCAGAGTTTTCTTGCCCATCCATCCAAATCAAAGGCACATAAGTAGTCAGTCATCATCTTTAAGGGAATATTCCTTTAGCAGCTATAGCTTGCCGGCTTTTCGGGTTACATGTAATATTTAGGAATTTGTAATATTTGAAAATATTTGCTGTGAACTCAGTGTTAAATCCAGCTCCTGAAGGCTTCCTCAGACAGTTGAGAATTGTAGTCAACTTTACTTTTGGTGATCACTCCGAAAGTGAGAACGCTTGAGAGAAAGAGAATTGCTATAATACTTCATTCTTTAATCAGTTAGCTTGGTGTAAAGTCTTGTGTTGCATTTGCAGGTCTAATAATGCATGAATCAGTGCTCATTTGGACAATTTTATTTTCCAACATTTTGGAGTTAAATAGAACATTTAAAAAATATTTTCCATTTTAAATCACAATTTCCAGACTGAGAACTGATTTAAAAAAAACTAAGGCATAACTACAGAGCTAAGCAAATGGTGTCCTTTCATTTTTCTCTGTATTTTATATCTCATCCACAAATTTGAATATGAACTTTAGAAGTTATTTGTATTGTCTCAGAGTGAGACAAACCCTGTGGTCTCTGGTGTTAGGGCTAAAGTACAGCACATTAATTAAAAGTCATATACATCAGAATTATCTTACTCGAACAAAGAAAAAATCAATGTCCTCTATTTTAACAGGGTAGAATTACAACTCAAAACAGATCTTGTGGCAGGTCTTTTCTGTAAGGATAGGAAGTCTGTGTCCCTGTTGCTTGGACGCTGACAGAAGCAATAAAATTACTTTTCACCAGTATTTCCTCTAGAGGTAGACTGGGATAGGAGGCTAGGTAGAAAGCCAGTGATCCCACAAAACTATCTCCTGCTCCCTAAAGAAAAAAAGGAAAAAGCAAAGAATAAAAGGAAGTGTTACTTCAGATGTAGCTATACAGAAAGTCCTACAAAAGAAACTATTTACCTAAATAAATTTAGTGTCCTTACAGCTTGCCATGGAAACCTTGGAGTTGAATTGTGTTTGTGAATACACACAAGAATTTGAAATGGGTACTGCATACTGATTTCCCCCCTGTAGCACATGTCCCACTTAATGTAAAGAATCATGTAAATGATTGTGAAATTCATTAGTGAAACTCTTTGAGTTTTTGGTATTGACAAAATTTATCTAATATTCATGTCTGAAAGCTGACATTTTCCAAACTTTGCAATGCAAAGTTGCAACTTACAACATGAACAACGTAATTTATTCCTCAAATTAAATGCAATTTCAGAGTTGCTTATTTGCCATGGCTTCTGCAAGAGATTAGAGATCTCACAGTAGTGTCATCAATCTTCAAGCTTCTTTGGGAAGAAACCATGACAAGTACATTTCTTTTAAGTTTCATGTTACCTTCTAGTGAGTCACAAATATTCCATTTTTTTTATCTAACATAACCCCCTCATTTTTAATCAAACATTATCCTCTGTATACTCTCCCACTTCCACATTCTTTCCTGCAAAGTTTTCTACTTACTTCTACTCTGCTTTTAGTCACTAATTCATTACATCAGTTTTTAAAGCTGTTGTTTTCCTATCAACAGTTGCTATCATTTTCCATGAAATTAGTTTGAAAAAGCAGAAAAGTACCTACATTGACAAGTGAGATCATCAAAGCATGATTTGATTTGCACACTGATTTCACATGCTGGATTTCATCTCTATTTTAAAGCATTTTTATTAGATCCTCGTAAAATGACTTCCCAAAGAGGAAATAAGGCTCTGAAAAGGAGTTTGGCAGCAGTTGCCACTGTTGGCTTGAGTGTTGTTGTTCAGGGAATGTACATCGTGCCTTATCTTTGTACTCCAAAATGTACTTTTGGCAGAATATTTTATTCTGTACAATGGAGAATATCCTATTTTTCCAAGTGGACTTATTGAAGTATGCCCTCACAGAGGGAAAGAACAGCAGTCCTGTAACATTTATATTTGCAATGTGCTGTCCTTTAAGAACATTTCAGGCTGTTATATGTTGTTGCCATAGAATCCGCACCAACTAATGTACGAATTTACAAGCTATGAAAAATAATAGGTGTAGAGTTTTCATAATTCTATGCAGTCCAAGCTGCTTTGGACACAGGAGGAATGGTATTGGTTCACAGGCTTAGCAACAGAGACACAATAGAACTGTTGCTGTGACTTGCAGGTAGTTAAGAAAAATGTCTGCACCTCTTTTTTGCGCTGGAAAACTTGCAAAAGTGAGAATTGCTACTCTTTGTATAGGGCATTTGTACACACACACACACACACGTGCGCGGCCATTCCAAGCTTTTCAGTGGGGTCTAGGATAAACAAGATGACCAGGGACTGGAGGTGCACCAAAAACACTTTAAAAACCTTCCGATGTTAAGAATAGCGACACTTCAGAGGCCAAGAACTGCACATAGAGAATAGGATACTGAAGACATGCCTTTATTTTTAACTGTTAACTTGGATGGCTCTTTGTGTGCACAGAGAGCAGAAAAAAAGGCCCCACTGTAATAACAGGCCATGCAATGCAGCAGGAAGCTTCAAGGACCAAGGATGTCGTCTGAAGGATGTTCTGAACAGACAAGGGCTACTTTTGGTGAGAGAGACCAGTAAAAGAGAACAAATGGTGGGAGATCAGCACAACTCCCTGCTAAATTCCCCAGGGGATGTTCAATGTTTCCTCCCCTGAGGTTTCACCCATGTTTCTAGAGCTGCTTGGGTCTCAAGACTTAAAAACAGTAGTGCAGGTAGGTAATGGTAGACACTGGACTTAAGGAGCATATGGGAATGATGAAGCTCTTCAGCTGGAAGGGGTATCACTTTACTTCAAAACCAGCCCCTTCTGCTTTTTCTCCTGAACTTCTGCCTGAATGCCCTGCTCTGAATGCATTGGCACTCGATGCCACGTGGCTGTGGGTATACCATAACTGAACAGAAGAGCAATAAAGCCACAGAACTCATCTTCTTGAGAAGTTGCACTTTAATTTTTTTAACGTTTCTAGTCCTTATGTCGTTGAAAATATAAAATGTGTGAGCAGTGCCAAATTTCAGAAATATGTCTGAAACTAATTTTTAGTGGGCTTTAGTGCCCTGTATAGCTCCTCTCCTGACAGCAGAATAAATTATGCAGGTTATGCACAATGGTTCATTTTGCATAATTTATTCAAATTAGTGTTCATTTTGCACAATCCCATTCCTCAGTAGTTTGACCACTCTGGTATAGAATTAAAAGGGAAAAAAGCACAACATACATGGACCAAAATCAAGATTTGTAGTCCAGCACTGGCAATACCAGCTTCACCTCAGTGAAGAAAAGTGGATTTGCATGTTTTTGGGTAGCTGAAAGAATGCACCATATTTTTCGCTCTATAAGATGCGCCTGACCATAAGAAGCACCTAATTTTTAGAGGAGGAAAACAAGAAAAAAAATATTCTGAATCAAATGGGCACATAATCAGAGGCACATTCCCCATCACTTCCTCATGGGCTGCACATCTGACAGACTTACTGCACACACATATTCGCTCTATAAGATGCACAGACATTTCCCCTTTTGAGGGGGGAAAATGTGCGTCTTACAGAGCAAAAAATACGGTAAATAAATTTTAGCAAGACATATTTTGTTGGTATCATCTACTAGTTATGTTTCTGAGCGCTTCCTTCTTTAGGCTCCTTACTTTTAAACTATTCCCAATATGTGCTGATGAGGTTTTATATTTTAAACTGTCACCAGAAGTATCTACAGACTGTTTCAACTTGTTTCATTCCTCAGCTGGATTTACAGTAAGAAGTCTAGCTTGCATCTGCTCTGTTTCAACTCTGACAAGCTGCTTCTCATTTTTCTTTCAGCGGTCTTGGGTAACAAGCTTGTATCCCTCGGTTAGTTCTCTGCTAGTCTAGTATATGAGCCCTCAAATTCCTTTGGCTTCTTTTTTTGCTTTCCAATCTGTAATATTATATTTGAGACTGCTCAATTCTACATTTTGGTTCACACAGAAGGGTGCCAGTTTAGTATGTCCATTTTGTACTAGGGTGAAAAGGGATCAGGACTGCTGGACTCTAAACAAGAATAAGAAGCAAAGAAAGAAGACAATAAATATTGCTTTTCATCATATTCATGGTGGTAATCAAAGGCATCTCAAGTTCTACCTCCTACACAATTATCTGGAGAAAAGCCAGCTACCCTAATCTTCCTCTTCCATACAAGTAGTTTGGAAATATTTGCTTTACAGTTATAGGCTGTGAAAACTTCTCATTTTAAGGTGCTTTAATGCTAGGGTTCAGAATTAAAAGCACCTTTAAAAAGAAGGAAAAAGCTTTAAGTTTTTTAATGATTCTTTGGGTGTGGCTTCCCAATTTTTTGAGCTGCCTTTTTAAAAATTTTTTGGTAGTATGTGCCTTCTTTCAAACTTCTGCAGTAGCAATATTTTAAATGTTTAATATGGTAAGATAGATCAATGTTATGTTTTTACTATGCCTTGTCCTGCAAGGAGGCAAACAAATATGGAATTAAATACTAAAACTTTTACAGCAGCTACCTGAAATGGCTTCCAACTTTATGGCATATTTTCTGATCTTCATTCCAAGCCATTCAATGATGCCAAAGCCAAGTAACTCAGTACCCAAAAGGTGCTCAAAGGCCAAATCCAGTCCTATGGGGGTTTTCCAGATGTTCTACCCTCTTTCCCTGGGCCTATCCCCTTTTCCCCAACTACCATTTGTTTGGTTGTTTCCCAGGTTTTGTGCAGTTTTCTCTCCATTCTTGAAAGCTGAAATGCCAGGTATTGGCAGCCAAAGACTTCCAGCTAAAATATGCTAGCATTTTGGGGCTCATCCCTTTTGCCTTTGGCTGCCCCCACCACAGGAATACAGCTCCAAGACCTTCTCCAAAGTTGAATTTGCCCCTTGAGCTGAGAGAGGCTCCAGGCCCCAGCACTACAAATGAATCTTTGGGTGTGGCTTTCTAAGTATTGGGTGCTTACCTTAATTCATCTATTTCTAATTTACATATGAAGATATTATGTGGGAAAATCAAAGGAGCACCTCTTGATTGCTGTTGCTGTTGTTACACTGCACTTAGACATCCACAGCTAAGCCACTGCCACAAACGACTTTTGATGTCTGTGAAGAGCATGATATATGTTACTGAAAAATATCCACCTCACCAAGTGCTGCTAGAATAGTACACTAGTGCAATACTTTGCATCAGTTCTCAGGAATCTGTACCCACTTCCTGACAGATTTCCTGATGGGTCGTTTGCAAATGATTACATGGTGCTGACTGTTAACCCCATGCATTCCTGAGAGATGAGCCCAGATAGAGTGTCTAGTGTGTACATGGTTTCCTTTGTTCTTGAAATCATCATGTCCTACAAAACCATTCAAGATCAAAGGGCAGTAGAAGAGAGACCTGGAGAGTTATCTAACTTGTGGTATACATTGCAAAACAACTCAAGAGACATGTACCCGCTGTGTTAATTTGAAAAGGCACAAAGAAATCTGCAGCCTGTTAACTCTTGTCATCTCCACAACACTTTATATTTTCAAGGGCCATCAATCATCTGGAGATGTCTCGCTTTTGAACAGATCTGAAGGCAGGCGCAATGATAAAATGAATATATAAACCAAACGCTTTTGGAAGTGTCTGCTAGTTCTGAGAAACCAGACTAACCTACCACTGTGATTTGAAAGCGTTAGTGCAACACTGCTCTCGCTGCACATTTCATGAGGTTTTCATGAAAGCTTGAACTTTCTGCTTTTGCTTATAATATCCAGTGAGCCTTAGCTGATTCCTCTGAGTATAAATTTGCTAAGCTTATCCTACTAGTGTGTAATGATCATTCTCAACCGCAGTTTGCATATAGCACAAGACAACTGATATGGGGAATACCTGCTTCAACAGATAACAAATTATTATCCATAAGGTATTGACTATGAGTCTGAAGCTCTGCAAACTCTCATAAGTCATCTCCAACTTTCATGGGTACTAGACAATCAGTACCTCAAATACTCAGATATTTTTATTTCCTACTTGGGTAACAAACTTGCCCAATATTAACATGCTTTTTCAGAATGTCTACTTCCTACATTTCTAGAAAAATAATCTGCATAGTCTTTTAAATTAGAGAGATGCTCTAGATAGGAAGTTTCCTTTTTACCCAAATACCCAAGAATGTTTGTGAAATATCTTCTGAGAAAAGGTGTAAGTCAGAATTGTTCAAAGCTTAGTGCTTGTAAGAATGCTTGATTCTGAATCCTTATTTTAGAAAATCATGACTATAGCATCTCATGGGAAATTATCTTTTTCTCTGACTTGAGAGATATTAAAGACACAACTGAAACCCCGCTGGATCAAGCCAGATATCCATGTTGTCCAGAAGGCAGGCTCCATTAGCTGTCAAGGCTAATAGCTCTTGGTAGACATCCCCTAGGATTGATCTAATCAGGCCAGATGGAAGTGTCTCTTCTAAGGTTTAGTTACTGGTAGTAAGAACTTTAGGCTAAAAAGGTTGGTATGTGTGTGTGTGTGTGGGGGGGAGTCTAGAACCTTGTCCAAATTATCTTAAGCTCTGTCAACCACTGAAATACATCCCCTGAGAACTTTAAAAATTTTTTTTTTCAAAATTTAATTCAGCCTTCAAATTGACAGAGGTTCTGCCCCCCTCTTCTAAAATATGCAAGGACATTAAATCCATTTTCTGAGTAGCCTTTCCTTTCAGGTTACTGGGTCAGTGGTCTCAGGGATATTTTGGTAGGAATGTTTTATTTTTAAGGATATGATTCAGGATAGTTTTAACAGTGTGCTAGTAATCCCTCCTTAGGTAGCTGACATTTGCCTGGATTTGCTGACATTTGCCTGGATTTGAATCTGAAACCTCCCTGGGGATTTCTATATTAGATGCTTATCATACAGTCATCATTCCCTAGCCACAATTGTTTATGGAATCTTTAAATGATAAAGTGACTCTCCAGTTTCCCTTTTGTTTCTCAGCACTTTTGGTGATGTTTTTAGAGCAGAGAAAATGCAACATTTGATTATGAAAGCAAAAGAAAGTTCAGTTTGCTCCTGTTTATTTGTTCGATTCTATTATAGCACTGTGCCACCTAGAGGTTATGTAGTGGAAAAGCAGGAAAGTAAATGTGTAATCTCAAATCTCCCAACAACCAAAAGGAGATGCACTGGATTAATAGCCAGCCAACAGCTGTATATAGAAAACTTTCCTCTCAGTGACCTGCATATTCATTCAACAAAGGGGCTGGGGGTTATTTTAAAGTCAGTCATCTAATGCAGCTGAAGGAAAAGAGAACAGCCGAATTTCCATCCAGTAAGAACATCCTTTGCAATATTTAGAAAGAGTAGAATATGAAGTCCATTTTAAATTAGAGAAATAAAAGTGTACAAAGGAACAGGAAGTAACACAAAGCCCAATCTTGAGATACAAAATCTGGAAGCAAGTACTAAGTAACCTATAAAATCCAGAATACCTCTCCTGTATGGCATTTTTAACAGACGGGAGAAAATAACGCTGGAAAGAATCCATGGACTAGATGACTGCAAAAATCTTTCAAACTGCTTGGTGGTGCCATCCTGTTGCAAATGCCAACCAAAACCCAGGGTTGTCTCTACCATAAGTCAGAATGAGGCAGCCAGAGGGCAGCACACGACCAGTTTCTGAACTTATTACTATATTTTGACTGCACAGGTGAGGTTCATTTTCCAAAACAGGCAACCAAAGGTTTGGTCCAACACTGCACAAACAAATATTTTAAATTCCAGCAAATTAGTATTTGAATGCTAGCCTTTGGAATCTTTCCAGTATTAGCTACAGCCCATTTCTATGTTTCGTCTGAAAATAATAAGGTGGCATGTTTGCAGCTGATGACAGATTACTAGCTGTCCAGGTTGGAAGTGTAGCTAGCTAAGGTGAAACAGGATCCTGTTAGTGTTGGCTCGCCTGTGAGTCAACAAGATCAGGAGGCAATGGATTTAAATCCCAACCAGCATCTTGCAATGTCAGGATCTTTGGAGCTGCGGGCTTTGGCCCTGTATCAACTTACTTCTACTAAGTGACATATGCCCTGTGTGTTGTATGTGCGCTCCTACTATGGACTTCTTCAAATGGTACAGGAAAAGCAGATGGAACATTTTTTAAAAGGTGGCATCCACCCAAGTCTAACTCAGAAAAGGGCAGGAAGCTGCACAATTTTATGACTCTGTGTCTGTTATCATAGAATAGGATGGAAGGGCCAGAGGGCCATTGGGTCCAACTTGCAGTTCAGCACAGGCCTCCAAGTTAAACCATCCCTTCCAGGTGACTGTCCAGTTGTATCTGAATGCCTCTAGTGTGGGAGAGCCCACAACCTCCCTAGGTCATTGGTTCCATTGTCGTACTGCTCCAACAGTCCAGAATGCTATGAGGTTAGCTTACTGCTGTTATGGGACAGAAAGTAAAATTTATTTTTCCACCTCCTCACACACACCCCTTTTCCATCTTTAAAGAAATGGCCATGGTGGCAATAGTTGAAGGAGATTAGGAGACAGAATACCCAGAGGAGGGCATTCCCTGCGGTGGCGCCCTGGCTATGGAATGCACTTCCTAGAGAGGTCTTCCTGGCACCGACATTATATGCTTTTCGCCGCCAGGTCAAGACCTCTTTATTCACCCAGTATTTTAATATTTAAAAGATTTTAATCATGTTTTATTTCAGTCATGAGTTGTTAGTCTTATTATTGTTTGGGGTATTTATAATTTTTATATTGTTGTATTTATTGAATTTTGTTTGTAAGCCGCCCAGAGATGCATAGTGATTGGATGGGTTAGAAATATCCCAAATAAATAAATAAATAAATAAATAAATAAATAAATAAATAAATAAATAAATAAATACAACAATAACTGTGAGCACACTCATAAACCAAAGTTTTTTAAAAAATATGTGGCACATACAGAAAAAACTGCATTATCAGACTATGGGTCCTTCTAGTCCACTGCTGCTTATTGTGACTACGGTGGCACCTCCCAAGTCCTGGGCAGAGGTCTTTCCCATTAGCCATGGACTGAACCTTCAACATCCACTGGACTTTGAACTCTCTCTCCAATGGGAGAGCCCCTGCTTCTCCTCCCCCATAACAAGACTAGAGCAAGCTACCAGCACAGAATTTCACAAGCCTAAAGAGTACTGCAGAATAAGCTTTGGGGGCTCAGCAGAGCCCTTCAAGCCAACAGAGGTAGCAGCTGAAGACAGAAACAGTATATGAAGCAAGTCCTCTCCTTGTCCCCTGCCAAAGGGGTATTTCTTTCCTGTGTGGCAGACATCCAGCAACGATGCAGTTGGGCATTCCACAATGGTGCTCCTGGCACCCAGAAAGTCCTATTGCCTGTGCTGGCCTGACATACTTCAGAGAGTGTGGGATAAGGTGACAGAAAGAAGGGCCTCTTACGTTTTTCAAAGAGCTTGGATAAGTAGCTATGGGTGGAGGAGTGATCCTGTGGGTAGCTTCCTAACAAATTAACTTCCTGCATTAACAAAACTGTTGGAATTACGGTTTTGCCTCCTCTGTGACATCATCTTAGCTACTGGTTCTTCTAGCCCTCTACTGACAGCATGTCACACATTTCTTTTACTAATGACTACTAGGATACATCCATTGATAGCAGTGGTGCAAATCCATAACATCTTTAATATGCTGTCTCACTGGACTCAGGGCAGGGCATCACAGCAGTCCCTACACCTTGGTGTAAGAGGAAAGCAGGTAGCACAGATTTAAGGCTCAGTGGCCCCATCTCACAATTTCTTTCATGTACTGTCTTTCACCATAGAGTATTTCCTTCCTTAGTCTAATACAGTCAAAATGAATTATCCCAATCTGCTCGCAGGTGGTTGTTCCAGGCTGCCATTCAAAGCGGCAAAGCTGTATGTCTTACCAGCTACCAGGTCTACTTACAAGTAAGTGCTGCAGTTTGCCATTCTGAGCAGCAAGCTGACATACCTCTCTGCCAACAGGTAAGCTCTCACTGAGGAGTGCTCCAGTCAGCAGAGTCACGTGGTAGCTTAGAGCTTTTCATGCTGGCAGAACTACTTGTTAGACGTCTCCCAGCTCGTTGCTTGATGCGGCAAAC